TGGTTTGCCAGCTATGCTTTCCCCTGCCACATTACCCAGCGGCAGAGGATTGATTCTTTTCTTGCACCGCTTAAGAAAATGCTGTTGCCAACAATCACAGAATCAGTTCCTTCACCTTTAGCTCTCTTCAAAAGAGTTTGGGCAGGGAAATCAGTTCTACGCACTGGGGTGAGTTCTCTGTCTGATGCACGGAAAGTGAAGAGTCGTGTGAATGCAACCACCACGTCTTCTTCATGCACACCTGAGTCTCAGATGGGAAGAAAGGGCTTGGCAGAGCATGTGAGAACCCTGAGCACTTCCTGGTGAACCACAGTATCCTGTCAGGAAACATACTCGGATCTCCTGCTACAAGTAGAATTGGATCTGGAAGGTGGGTGGCGGTGAGCTGGGACCGTACACAGAACAGCTCAAAACAACATAAAATGAGATGTTGGACTGTCTCCATTTCTTCCGATGAACTGTGCATTCTAGAACTTCATGGCAAGGGAATTTGGGGTGGTGGAAAGAAGCTGTTTATACAGTACGGATGCCAGATTTATGTCTGTTCTAACTGAGGGAGGTACGATCCATGATAATTTCAAACAACACAGTAGTTCAAGGGTTTAGCAAGTAGTAACGTGGCATGTCATCTGCATAGGGCGAAAAGGATTAGAAGCAGCATGCAAATCGTTGTGTTATTGTGTTCTGAGAGTATTTATTTTGGAAACAGCAACAAAAGTGTACCTTGGAAAACTTTGCTCTTCGGACTTTCAAACCATAAGAATGGGAAAACTCTAGATCTGAGCAGTCATTTTTTTGTTTTTGATCAATGAACCTCGTTCCATATAGTCATCACTCTTCCGTTATGAAGGTCTGAAATGTGTCTCTCTCTGTGTTTATTTGTCTCGCTACTTTCCCCCTCCCACTGTACATGACCTAAAATCACACCTCTGTGTCTTTTAAGTGATAAGCCTAGCAGGAAATGAATGTGATGATTTTTTTTTTTTAAAGAAAATATTGGGCCTCCAAGAGGACAAGGGATGGGCCTCTGGAGTCCTACCCCTTTAAATGCTGGACCATACTGGAAATGATTTGCTGGTTCAATTACATTATCTACTCTGCTCTTTCAAGAGTGAAGTTGGCAGCAAATGTTTTCCGCACAGCAAAATAAATTATAGATATTTCCCAGAGTGCCAGCATTGGAGTCCATAAATGGAAGGCCTCCGCCCCCTCCCTTACAGCTTTTACTCTGCTAAGTCAATTCTCACTTGCTTAAGTTACCAGTAACTAGTGCAACAGGTCTCCTGCAGGAAGCAGCACTTCCTATGGTTGAGGACCAGCTGAGTCTGCCATGAATTACTGAGTTACCAAAATGCAGTGGTTCCTGCTGCTAGCTGCCTCTCATGTCTCCCAAGAAAGGTGTAATTTGCTCTGAAAGACTGGCAGGGTTCCACTATGATGGTGGAGGACAGAACCTGAGCAGCAGAGCAGAAAGTCCCTGGGCAGATCCAGTTAATAAAAAGAACCTGGTAAAAAGTTGTTCGAAATACGATGCTTCATTTATCTGAATGAGATTCTGGAGAAAGGCTGTCAGTCAGAGCAGGCAGTATTAAGCTACATGGACAATATCTGTGTGTCTGTGTTGTTGTTTTAAAAAATTATCGTGAATATTGCCTCCCTCAGTTATGCCAGGGACAAATCTGGCATCCATAGTCTTATAAATTTCTTCCTCTCACCCCAGCAAATCCCCTGGCCATCTCTCTATTGAATGCAGGTTATAAAATCGTGATTAGAATCTGAGCAAAGAGATTGAATGAAAGAAGACTGGCAAAGACATCAGGCTAGCTCAAACTGGTTTGAGACAACTTACGCGTAAATGCACAAAAGGCAATGAACATCATTAACATAAACATATGATGTGTTTATAAGGGGTTAGACTAGATGACCCTTGGGGTCTTTTCCAACTCTACAGTTCTATGAGTCCATGGCCTCAGAAGGTGGTAGACTCTCCTTCCTTAGATACTTTTAAACAGATTTGATGACTGTCTGTCAGGAAGTCTTTCACTGTGATCCCTGCATTGCAGGGGGGTGGGCTCCTTTCCAGCTCTATAACCCTGTGATATCAATTTCATTTTCAACTTTCTTTCCCTTACTTTGATGTATTGTTTTGATTTTTATTTGAAGAGGGGGAATCCATAACTTAGGAGACCATGTCTGTCAGTGTGCAGAATGTAAGTCAGGCATGTTGAGCTTCCACTTCATTAAGCCAGTTTTCTAGGAATCAATAAATTGTTGAGCGTGTGTGTTCAGTTAAAAAATGAGGAAGCCTCTAGTCCTCATCACTATAAAGAAATGGTGGGGCAGTGTGGGAAACCTCTGCTCAGTACCTCAAAACAAGGACATTCCTAGCTGGTGGTCAGCAATCTTGTTCAAATATCCCTACCCAACAAGTTTCTGTTTTATTCCTTCAGTGCTCAGATCTTTGGGTGACCATTGACAAGGTAAGTCACCCAATCTTATTCTGGGCTGGGGTACTCAGGAAACCACCTCTGAATTACGGGGACTAGTGATGCTTTTGAATCATGGTGCTGGAGGAGACTCTTGAGAGTCCCATGGACTGCAAGAAAATCAAACCTTTCCATTCTTAAGGAAATCAGCCCCGAGTGCTCACTGGAAGGACAGATCCTGAAGCTGAGGCTCCAGTACTTTGGCCACCTCATGAGAAGAGAAGACTCCCTGGAAAAGACCCTGATGTTGGGAAAGATGGAGGGCACAAGGAGAAGGGGATGACAGAGGACGAGATGGTTGGACAGTGTTCTCGAAGCTACCAGCATGAGTTTGACCAAACTGCGGGAGGCAGTGAAAGACAGGAGTGCCTGGCGTGCTCTGGTCCATGGGGTCACGAAGAGTCGGACACAACTAAATGACTAAACAACAACAAGTGCCTTTTGCATCCCTAAAGGAGTTGTGAGAATTGCCCCACATTCCAGCCTTGTTACCCAGCTCCGCAATTTGCCTTGAAGGGGGGTGCCTGCATCATCCCCTATGCAAATTACATAGCTTTGTGCAAATCTGATTAAAAGCACTTCCCTTTCCAAATGTCAGAATGCCCCCCTCCTTTTAATACAGAATTTCTGAATTCCTGAATCTGGGAATGGGGATATTTGGAGATCATGGATGAAACGGATGGATGGATGGATGGATGGATGGATGCATAGATGAAACAGCACCCCATGTCTCTTCCTAGAAGGGGTGCCCTAACTGGGTTTTCACTGGTTGTTTGACAGCCTTCCCAATTCATTAAATCAGCCTCCGTCTCTGCAAAACTTGAGCAAGATGGCTGATGGCCAGGGAATGCTGTAGCTCTCATCTTATCAGAGCCACAACATACCACTGAGCTTCAGAGGGTATTTTTAGACAGCTGGGAAAAGCTGGGGGAATTACTTGCTTTTGATCCTTGTTGAACTGGAAAGACACCAATAAATGTCAGGAAAACTGCTATAGCACTTGCTCCTCTACTTTGCTTGCATATTTTGTTCACGGGATTGGATTAATCTTTATTCCAAGTGTACCACCGAGTGTATGTGTGAGAGTGTATTTTATACAATCAAATGGGACTTCTGCTGCAGCAGCATCTTCAATAAACACCTTTATTTTGAAGGTAGCATTTGTCCTAATCCCTGTTTCGGGTTTCCCCCATGTTTCAGACTCCGGTAGCTTCCTTGTAGCACTCACTGCAGAGGGGTGCTATATCCACAGTCTATTTTATGGGGATTTGGCAATGCTGGCATCCCACTGGGCTGAGAGAAAAGACTAGGTGCTTTAGAGCTACAGAACAGGAGGAAAGTGGACGGTTTCAGCGTCTGGGGCTTTTTAGACCAGGATGTGTCCCAATACTAGAACCCAATCGGTGTCATGAAATGAAGTTCGGATGATGGGAGACTAGAGGACCTTCCCATCCTCTAGTCTAGGGCATCTAATTCCTTTATGCCATGGAAGCATTTTGTCTGAGGCCTCTTTGTCTGCTTTCAGGAAGGGAAGCCCATTTTCGTCATTCAGGGCCAGCCACTTAAACCTTGTGGCACTGCTGCATATTACGCTGGCAGCCCCTTCCTGCAGCTTCCGCTGTCTTTTCAATGAGGCTCACAAAGTGGGATTGCGGCACTTCATGCAGGAAAGAGAAGCTCTCGCCTCTGTGGATCCACATGCTTAGGAAAGTCACAGCTGTCTCATAGAAACATGGAACTGTCGAGTTGGAAAGGGCACCCAAGGGGCCATCTAGTCCAACCCCCTGCAGTGCAGAAATCACAATGGAGGAATCCCTGGCAGGTGGCCATTCAGCCTCTGCTTAAAAAGCTCAATGGAAGGGGAGTCCGCTGTTTGGTGGAGAAAGTACTGCTGCTGCAGCAGGCCATCCTGCGAGAAATCAAAGGTTGCAACATCCCAAACAGGCATCCGCCTGTCTGCCTCTGCTTGAACAGTCCCAGGGAGGAAGAGCTCACCCACCACAACCTAAATAACCAGAACTTATCATCAAGAGTTCCATGTCAAACTGTGATCTGCCCATGAGATTTAGTCCTGCCCTCTAGGGGGCAGCAGAGAACCAAGCCTTGTCCTTTCCCACACAGCAGTCCTTTGGGTCAGTTGTGGCCCCACTAAAACTTCCCCGTCCATCTTTCTTCCTAAAACTTGTTTTCCATTCTGCTGACCATCTTTGTTATCCTCCTCTGACCTGTTCCGGTTTTTCTCACGATACTCCCTGTGCGACATGAGTACTCTGGCTTGATTCAGAATGATGAAATCAGTAAGCGTGCTGCTGGGATATTTCTTTGGGCAGCCAATTGTTGCTGTATGTTGCTGGACTGCAATTCCCATCAGTGAGGAAGGATGGGAGTTGTAGTCCCATAGTATCTGGAGGGCTAACAGTTATGCAAGCCAATCCTGCTCACAAGATTTCCGACCACCTACAGAGAGTGATGGGTTTGGCAGAGGTGCCACTGAAAACACCTCCTGTTTTCAGGGCAAACATGGCTCAATTGGTTAAAGTTTGGTTCTGATAATGCCAAGGTTGCAGGTTCGATCCCCATATGGAACAACTGCATATTCCTGCATCGCAGGGGGTTGGACTAGATGACCCTCGGGGCCCCTTCTTCCAACTCTACAATTCTATGATTCTCTTGTGCTGGTGCCGTCCTACTTTACACCACTCTTGAATCATGTGGGTTTTGTTTTGTGCAAATCATAATCGGATGGGCTCCGCGTTGCAGTCGTGGCAATCCAATCTCGGTTCCTTTCATGCTGAAAACAAGAGCAGCAGCAATTGTGCCTGTCAAAAAGGATTGCCCCAAATTTGCTATTCAGTATTAGAGACAAACCAGCCCTTGGTGATCTGAGCTTTTCTGCTGTCCGGGCTGTTGTTTTTCTGGTCTGGCTAAGGAGACCCAGATCAGAGCCTGGAGCCAGAAAGGCTTTCCATTTTCACTTCTCCGGGGGAAACTGCCGAAACTACCTGGGAAGACCTGTAAAAGAGATTGAGCTGTTGGAATTGTGTTATCAATGCAGCAGGATGTGGAAGTCTGGCTGCTGACACATAAAAGCATTGCGGGGGGGGGGGGAGAATAAAACCTGACTTGAAGCTGATTCTCTAGCGAATCAATGAATGAAAAGGGAAGGCAAAGTGAATTAAGGGGAAGGGACAATGGCTGCGAGTGATCAGGCAGTGCTTCACAACATGTCCACTGTCTGCCTGGCTTATGTGAAAGCTGCAGAACTGAAGGGGATTGTTTTATGCGCAACTCATCTCCCGCAAATCTCACCTGCGCATGATAGGATTTCAGGAACCTGTTGTGGTGAAAGGCAACAGCTGCAGAATACCTCAAAGGAGACATTTGCAAAAAGGAGATTTTTGTGACAATGCCTGTCAAGATGGAATACATCAAGATGCAGAGATGTACTCTGGTACCCAAGTGGTGTTGAATGGGCTGTGGCCAACCTGCATCTTGTGTCTTCCTGAGCAAAGCTGCTCAGGGATTGGTACTGCCAAGGCCACAAAGCAAAGCATGGTGCCACTCTGGGCATGCAAGGTTCATGATGAAAATACAGTGGTACCTCAGGTTAAGAACCTTAATTCGTTCTGGAGGTCTGTACTTAACCTGAAACTGTTCTTAACCTGAAGCACCACTTTAGCTAATGGGGCCTCCCACTGCCGCCATGCCACCAGAACACGATTTCTGTTCTCATCCTGAAGCAAAGTTCTTAACCTGAGGTACTATTTCTGGGTTAGCAGAGTCTGTAACCTGAAGCGTCTGTAACCCGAGGTACCACTGTATGCTCTACAGGCCATTATTCTGCCTGGGAGGATACACCCAAGTTGCTTGAGGTAGGAGCTCTTTCCAGTGGGATGGGTTCAGAATATTGCCCTCCCAGATAACAAGGTGCCCACTGCTGTCCTGGAATACTGCTGTTGTGAAAAGGGAGAACAGTGGTGGCAGGTGCCCATTGAGAGTGGCTGGTTAGAAGGGAGGCCAACAGTAGATGGTGCCAGAGCCAATGATGGGCAGAGCCAGCTAAGTCAGCATCCTCCTTCCTGCTGAGTTCTACAAGGACACTGTTGGCCCTTCAGGAGAAGGAACCTGCCTGCGAGCGCCACCCCCTGGCCCAGTGGTAAGTAAGAAGGCCGGCAGGTGGGGGCTGGCTGAGGGCAGGGTGAGGTTGGTGGGCCAGTGCCCCATTTGCCCTAATGGACCAACCTCTGCTGCAAATATAGATCTATTCCTGAGATGGGGAGAGGAATCAACGGGAAGCCCAATGCATTTTAATAACAAAAATCTTTGAGGATTGGAGCTTTTTCTCTGAGTGCTTTAATTAGAAACTTTCCCCAAAGGGATTTCTCTGTGTCCACACAAACGAGGCACCATTGCTGGTTGGGGTTTTTTGTTTGTATGTTTAACTCTGGGTGGAGCTGCACATTTTGAGGGACACCTGTCTACCTGCCACCCTTGTAAGGATGAAGGCACATGAGCTAAGCAGATCTGGGTTTTTACAGGACCTGGATGGTTGACCACTTGAGAGCCACATGCACCCACACCCCCTTGAGCCCAGTTGCAGAATAAATTTGCAAATATGTATTTCTCCAGCCAAACTCTGAATCCAGAACTAAGACTGGCATTGGGGTGTTGGCTTCAAGGGCAAATATTTGGGTGGGGACTGGGCATGAGCACCTGCCTGGCTTACACCCCTTGCAAATCCACCCCCTCAAATGTTTCCTGCAAATAGATGTTTGGGGACCCGCCACTCCTGAGGTAACATACAGCTGCCTCCTTCAGAGGCAATGTTTTATATAAGGCATCCCTGGTACACTGTGAGCTATAAATCTGTATAAATGCTTTGCTGTTTGCTATGAGGTCATCCCAGCTGCCACTTCCATAAGCTGAGCTGGTGCAAAGTTAGCAGCATGGAAAATGAAGTCAAAAGGCCTGAACTGCAGGCAGTTAAGAGAGCTGCCTGGTCGTTTTGCATCGGAACAAGATGACTGATGCGTTCAGCAGGTTTTGCCCCTTTCAGCTCTTGCAATTTTCCTCCACTTACCACTGAGATGCTTGCGAGGAGATTTGCTGACCCGCTTTTGACAAATTGCTCATGAGCAATGAATTATACAAGCCACATTAGAGGGGAGTCACCAAGATGCGATGCAAATACTGAGCATCCTTAAGATTGGCCCAGAAGTTGATCGTAAGGCAGGAGCCGAACTCAGTGAGAAGCTAGCCATGGGCAAAAGTGTTTGCTTGTGCAAGGCAATGCAAAAAAGTTCTCTTTTGTGCTGTTAAATTTGCATTGATCCCTTCACACATGGGATGCGGGTGGTGCTGTGGGTTAAACCACAGAGCCTAGGACTTGCCGATCAGAAGGTCGGCGGTTCGAATCACCACGATGGGGAGAGCTCCTGTTGCTCGGTCCCTGCTTCTGCCAACCTAGCAGTTCGAAAGCACGTCAAAGTGCAAGTACGGTAGATAAATAGGTACCACTCCGGCGGGAAGGTAAACGCCGTTTCCGTGCGCTGCTCTGGTTCACCAGAAGCGGCTTAGTCATGCTGGCCACATGACCCGGAAGCTGTACGCTGGCTCCCTCGGCCAATAAAGCGAGATGACCCCAGAGTCGGTCGTGACTGGACCTAACGGTCAGGGGTTCCTTTACCTTTACCTTTACCTTTACCTTCACATGTGCAGTTCCTCTCGCTCCACGTTGCTGTCATTAAGCGACGGGCCAGCTCCAAGCTTGTATTTAAGACCATGCTGGCAGAGCTTAGATCCCACTGATTTCGACAAATCTTTTAATCGTTACTCAAAGCACTGCCTTAAATTAGGCACTTGAGTGGGCAAAAAGCCTTCTTAATCTGGTTTCTGGTGGGGAAGCTGTCATTAGCATGAGCCAAAAAATGTGCTTTTTGCACAGTCCTTGCCAATACCTGCTTAGATTGTAACCGTGCAGGCAGCTGGATCCTTGGCATTTTCCACAATGCAAATTCCAAATACTGTAATCTGCTTGGCTCAGGAGCCAGGGTTCTTCACCGTTGGTTGCAAGTCTGTGCCTGGCACAACCTGCATCTCTGTGTTTTGAGGAGAGTTACAAAACAACTTCTGATCTGCAGAAATGATGCAAATCTTTTGGAAATGTTAGCTACATTAAAAGGAAGTTTTAAGTTTGGAGCCTGTGGTGGTTCATTAAAAAATGGGTGGAGGGATGGAGTTTGTAGGCCCTCTGAGATTTAACATTTTTTAATATATATATATATATATATATATTTATTTATTTATTTAATATTAATTTAGCTTTATTTTAAGAGCATTTGCAGACCATAGACCAGTCCGTTTCAGCATGCAGAGAAGTGAAGAGCAGCATAGGAGAGTTAGTTGGTTCTTAAAAGGAGACCTTGGTGGGATCTTCAACTTAGCTCAGTTGGTTAGAGCATGATGCTGAAAATTCCAGGGTTGCAGGTTTGATCCCCTTATGGGATGGGACAACTGTGTATTTCTGCATTGCATGGGGTTTGACTAAATGATCCTCAGGGCCCCTTCCAATGGTACAATTCTTTAATTCTTTCCATCAGGTTTTATTATAAGAGAGGATTCCACAATCCCTGTTGAGAGAGCTTGCTTCAAGCAATTAAACATTACAAAGATTTAATTGGATGAATCAGTGTCCCTCGGCAGGCACTACAGATTCCTTTCTCATGAAAAATCCTGGGAGAAGAAATTATGGCCTGTCACAAAGATTCTACTGACGTTTCCTTCTAAAACTCAAACAACCGCCCTTTCTAATAATGCTCACTTTCCATTCCAGTATTGGCAAAAGAAAGTTTGTAGGCTAGCCTAGAAGAAGAGATGAAGATATTGGGGTTCGGCTGGGAAAGGGAGGATTGTTATGGAGTCAATAGACAAAATAGTAAGTTATTCATAGAATTGTAGTGTTCGAAGGGACCCTGAGGGTTATCTAGTCCAACCCTCTGCAATGCAGGAATCTAAACTAAAGCATCCGTGATAGATGGCCATCCAACCTCTGCTTAAAGACCTTCAAAGAAGGAGAGTCCACCACCTCCTGAGGGAGTCCATTAAACTGCTCTTACTGTCAGAAAGTTCTTCCTGATATTTAGTCAGAATCTCCTTTCTTATCATTTGAATCCATTGATTTGGGTCCTCCCCTCTGGAGCAGCATCTTCCATGCGACAGCTCTTTAAATATTTGAAGGTGGTTATCATATCCCCTCTCTGTCTGTTTTCCAGGCTAAAAATAGCCAACTCCCTCCACTGTTCCTCATAAGGCATCGTTTTTAGATGCTTTACTACAGTAACCAAGTCTTCTCTCTCTTCCCCCCTTGATGGCATCATTCCTGTACCAGGTTTCTAAGAATGCCATCCCATGTGGGGCAGAAGAGATGAAGGCCCTTCATCTGCCCCATCCAATTCTCTGCTAGGCTCTTTGCCAGCTAGGTGAAAGCAAGGGTAGAAGAGATCTCTCCCGCTCCTCCATCCTGCTCTGTTCTGGTACAGTTTTATCTCCAGATGAGATTAATGGCAAGGAAATTAACTACACCAGCTCCAGGTGTGTGCAGGCACCTTGGAGGACTGGAAGGGTATCAGATCTTGGTGTGCACATGCACAGACATTTCATCCCTGCGAAGAACTCCAGTATTGGAAGGCCAAAGACCACAGAAGTTTCTGAAGTGGCAGAGAAGGGGGATCTGACTTAGGATGACCATCTCCAGGGCCAGCGCTCTATTCTTCTGCCCACTGAGGAGGAGGCCTATGGCTTCTGATGGGGACATAGTCCTAGGAACCATAGGGTTTTTCCTGGGTGCCTGTTGCTTATGACCAAACCATGAAGAAGACTCTTTCTAGCCTTTTTCTCCCCGTTTCCTCCCTGTCGGAATTGAGATGGTTCTGTGATTTCCTTTTGGCCTGAGGCCGTAACAGAACAAAATGGATAAAGCTCCTATCTTACAAATTGATGCCATGGGGAAAGGTTAGCTCAACCCAAGTTACTTATCATGGCAGGAATTCGCCGTATGAGGATTCAATCAGAGCAGCGTGAGATTTAGATGAAGCTCATGCATATGCTGCTGTCTTGAGTAATACTTCTTGACATCTGTTAGCTAACAAAAAGTCTATCTCCTTCCCCCCCCTTTTTTTAAAGTACTGGCCAGTTTTCCTTACCCAACAGCAGCTGAGGAATAAATTTGTTTTGGGCTGATAACATGGTGGGACATGTAAAAAAATAATGATGTATAAGATCCTCCATTTTTCCTGCGACACCAAAAACATGAATGGCTATGGGGCATCTTTTCCAAAACAGCTGTTAGCATCACTTTAAGGTATCATTAGTTAATGAAAGGAAAATGAAATTGCCAATATCATTATGCACATTCCCTTTTTAAAGAAAAAAAACAACAACAACAAAACCCAGCAGCTACACTATGCCAGGGTGGCAACGTGGTTGGAGTTGAGATGTGGGTGGCGCTTGGGCTTGCCAATCGGAAGGTTGGTGGTTTGAATCTGCATGATGGGGTGAGCTCCCGTTGCCCTGTCCCAGCTTCTGCCAACCTAACAGTTCAAAAGCACACCAGTGCATGTAGATAAATAGGTACTGCTGTGGTGGGAAGATAAACGGCATTTCCATGCACTCTGGCTTCTGTCACATGTCCCGTTGAGCAGTTTAGTCACACAGGCCATATGACCCAGAAAGCTGTCTGTGGACAAATGCCAGCTCCCTTGGCCTGAAAAGCGAGATGAGCGCTGCACCCCGTAGTCACCTTTGACTGGACTAAACCATCCAGGGGTCCTTTTCCTTTTTTTACCTGGTGGTTGGTGTGCTGGACTAGCACCTGGGAGACCAGGGTTCAAATACCCAGTCAGCCATGACGTTCACTTCGGTGGGTGGGGTGATCTTGAGCCATTCACTGTCTCTCAGCCTACCTCGTAGGGTTGTTGCAAGGATAAAATGGGGAGAACCACACATGCCACCTTGAGCTCCTTGGAGGAAATACCAATATTTAAATGTAGTAGCAGTAATAATGTTCTTTTTTTCCTGTTATAATAATAACAATAATACCAATAGTAAGTAGTTTAGCTTGGCTCTGAGGCAGGAAGTAGCCCAAGACTGTAAAGGCTAAATTCCAGTGCCATTCTCCTTTTCCGAGAGAGATACAGCATGACGAAGAAGACAAACGCTTCTTTTCATACCTTGTTTCTCACTCAGAAACGATGCCACCTCTGAACTTTGATGCTTCTGCAAGGTCCTCTCACCTCGTTCCACAGGCTTTGTTTACCACGGAGCGTTGCCTTTCCATTTGAGAGTCTGTTGACGTCCTGGGCTTGTGTGCGGAAGGCAATGTTGCAGCACAGGCCAGGAAGGCACAGGTGAGTAACTGGAGATCAGTAACCAAGGAAACTGATAGGAACGGAGAGGAAGTGGCTTTCACCTTTTTGCTAATCTACAGGAAGCAGAGGTTGGCCTTCTGTGGAGCTTCTCAATGGGAGAGTAAATTGCAACTGCAGGACTGAAAGTCAGGCTGGATCACCCTTGTGTTTGTCCTGTGTCTAGAAAGCATGGGTTCGAGAGGTTTTGCATTCATCCTACCTCTTTCCTCGGAAAACTCACTGTTTATTGCTGAACTGGAATAAGTGTAAATCTGCAGAAAGTCTGATGGATGTTTGTGGGTTTTCCTGGGGGAAAGCTGTGGCAAATGCAGAAGTGTAGATGAACCCAAAGACTGCAGTCCTGTACACACTTAACCTAGTCACAAGTCCCATGACACTCAAGGGGGCTGACATGGTGTAGACGTTCAGGATGGCGATTTCCCACTCAGATTGCATTTAAAGCCAGATCTGGCATTTTCTGAAACAAAATGTGAACAGAAACAGAACTGTCGTTCAAAATGTGCATTTATCTGAATTTTGCAATGCACTTCTCCAACCAAACAGTGTTCACCAAAAGACAATGCATATATTAGGGGTGGGTGCACATGAAAATCAATACATTTGTGAAAATACAAATATGCATTTATCTTAGCAGGAAATTGCTTGCAAAAATAGGTGCATAAGTCATATAAGTCATACTTGCGTATCAAAACTTGATTATTATGAGAAATTTGCACTAAAATGCTGATGAATTTTCATGAGGGTTTTTTTTTTTAATGCTGCCAAACATGGAGAACTGAAGATTGGAAAAATGAGATATGGAAAGAGCTGTAATTGGCAGCTGCTCCTAGGGGACACGCAGAGGGTTGCACTGTTAGCCTCCCTGTTTTATGACTAATTCACTGCTACTGGTGTGAGGTAGTAAAACTTGAGTCAGCACGACAATAAAAGGTTCTCAAAACATTTTTGCAACCCAGGAGGACTAATTTATGGAAACAACAACCAGTTCCTCCCACGCCATATACAGCTTAGCAACAAGTGCGATGGCTGGTGCTGGGCCAGATAATGCCTCTTGTTTCTCTCCTGCCGGAAGCTGACTAAATAAATGGCTGTATTGTGGAAATGAGTGTCTCAGTGCTGCTTGGTCTGCAATCTCTTCATATCTGAGGCTGAACAATCTCTCTTCGCAGACACAAACAAACACTCCAGTGTCACTAAACCAACCACACAGCCCTTAAACCTTTCTGTGATTCACAGGCCACTTTTTGGTACGTTCAGCCATGTTCTCCTGATGTTTGTGAGGCCAAGGGTAGATGAGAATGCAATTGGCCCAGATATAATATCAGTAAATATCAAGTAAATCATGTCAAGGGTATTTTTGGAGCTCAGGGTCTAAGAAAGCAGTGAGGTTTGTAAAAAGAGCAAATGTGAACAGTTCCCAGTGCTCTGAGGTGATTCCCCTTAGCGCTGCCATCTTGCCATTCTCTGCCTTCGAGAGAAACCACCAGTGTCCCTCCTGTTTCACAATTCTGGCAAATCAAGGCTTCCCTGTCAGGCTAAGTTAGAATGAAAGTCCCATTAGCTGTACAAAGGACAATTTCAGGGCTGTCCTCCTTTTCTGCTCCTTCTTTCACAGACTTCTTTGGAAGAACAGCCAAGAACGGCTTCTTTGGAAGCAAGGGAGATAAATATCCTTTTAAAGAACGTCTCTTGCAAATTAAAGAAAATAACTTCTATCTCTATATGCCAGAAGCGAAACTTGTATTGTGCTAACACAGTCAGTTATTCCAGATCTGTGGCTCTAGCAGACGTCTTCTCCAGCAGATGGTGAGTTGGGAACCAATGTGGCAAAATAACACACAAAAGTGTGTATAATAGGATGAATTTGCACTAAAAGTCTGATGAATTTTCATGAGGTCTTTAAAAAAAGATGACAAAGGGATTCAGAGATGGGGGAAATTGAATTTAAGACTGAAAAAAAGAGAGAAATGGATGTTCAGCTCTCCCTAGTCTTGAACAGAAGACCCTAACACTGTTTCGCCCAATGCAACCAAATGACTCCAAGACGGATGCGATGCCTCCAGCAAAAAAATGTCACAATATTTTCTTGCAATACCAGAACTAGAGATCTCCTCAAAGTAGTGATCATGACTAATTACACCACCAAGATTCCTGGGATTGTTCGGCTGAAGGCTGATTGGCGCAACCAGCTCTGACATAAAGTCAATACAGGCTGACATTTTAGGAGATTTATGCATGTTGAACTTGACTTGTGAGTGATTCAACATTAACTGAGGAAAGGCCTCGAAAGAGAGGGGGGGCGGGAGAACATCTTTACTGGGCTCGTTGCTAGAATTTATTAAAACCAGGCGTAATTCAGGCTGAATGCCACAGCCCCATCACTTTTGAATCCCAAACTGAAACATTCTCCATTCTGCCATGAAATGGTCGGGTTGTACTTGTGTGAAAGAACATGACGCATCATGAAGCTTCCTTGTCACGCCAGAGCCAGCGTGGTGTAGTGGTTAAGAGCGGTAGACTCGTAATCTGGTGAACGGGGTTCGATTCCCCGCTCCTCCACATGTAGCTGCTGGGTGACCTTGGGCACACTTCTTTGAAGTCTCTCAGCCCCACTCACCTCACAGAGTGTTTGTTGTGGGGGAGGAAGGGAAAGGAGAATGTTAGCCGCTTTGAGACTCCTCCTCCTCCTCCTCCTCCTCTTCTTCTTCTTCCTCCTCCTCCTCCTCCTCCTCCTCCTCCTCCTCCTCCTCCTCTCAGATTTTCTCCTCAATCGAAGGCAGGAATGGGGCTCCCAGGCTCCTCAACGGGTTGTTGGGCTACAACTCATATGATCCCCAGCCATGCTGTCTGGCGTCCAAGCCTGGATAGCTCAGTTGGTTAGAGCATGGTGCTGAGAACACCACGTTTGCAGGTTCAATTCCCATAGGGGACAGCTGTGTATTCTTGCATTTTAGGGGGTTGGACTAGATGATCCTCGTGGGTCCCTTCCAACTCTATGATTCTATGTCTAACTTGTTCAAAGATGTTTGAAGTCTCCTGATTAACTATCTGTGGGCAGACAGAAAAGAAACGGTTTTCACTTCCGAACAATATTCAGTTGGTTGACTGTATGAGTCTGTTCTCCCAGGAAGACTCTTCCGAACGACATTCTTGCAAAAAACAACAACAGCAAGGCACCCCTCTGGGTTCCTTTAATGACCATCAAGTATGAAAGAGGGTTATTACTAGTTAAGGATTCGTCTAACGGGGAAATGTAGCCTGCCTTCTTACTTCTGTTAAAATATATAAAGTTTATAATAGCCTTTAGCGAAAGCATTTCTTTTTGATGGATATTTTAAAGACATAATCAAGGGATTACTCATTACCAAAAGCTGTGCTAGAAGGACACATTACACAGAGAATTGTGTCTCCGGGCAAATCTATTATGCCGTCTTTTCCTAGCTGAATCACACGCTCCCTGCACATATCATTCATATATAATAGGAAGGGTGATCCCGATGTTAATCAGGTATGGGACTAGCAGAACTGCATTTCTGATGTAAAATCTGGAGCAAAGATTCGCAGCTGGCTGTAAATTTCACGGCAGATAAGAATTCCAAAGGTTCCTGTACTGTAAGCTTGGGCTTGTTTGTGTCCTCCTCCTAGCAATCAGTGGTTACATCCAGAACAAAGTAATAAACCCTGTCACGGGGAGCATTTGGCTTCAAATGGGTGTGAACTAAGGTGGCAGCAAAGTACCACTGTTAGGTTTTGAATTATAGACGAGAAAGAATAAGATGAAACACAATACCTAGAGTTCAAAAAGTAAATGTCTTGATATGGGCCGAGAGAACATTTTCATGTTTTAGATTCGAATTTCCGTTACATAAAGACCTGTGTAAAATGTAAGAAGGGGGGAAATCTGTCAATTTCATCAGTGTTTCTCCAAATGCGCACATTTTTGGTTTTGCCCAATACAGTGGTACCTCGGGTTAAGTACTTACGGTAATTCATTCCGGAGGTCCGTTCTTAACCTGAAACTGTTCTTAACCTGAAGCACCACTTTAGCTAATGGGGCCTCCTACTGCGCCAGAGCACGATTTCTGTTCTCATCCTGAAGCAAAGTTCTTAACCTGAAGCGTATGTAACCTGAAGCATCTGTAACCCGAGGTACCACTGTACACCCATTTTTAGAAGCAATTTTCATTTTCTGCATTCTTCCCCAATGGGAACTAGGGGGCATGCTCTCTGGGTTTCCCTGATAAATTGGCCACATTTAACCATGCTGCAATGCAGGGATCATCAGGGCCGTATTTAGGTTTGATGAGGCCCTCAGCTACTGAAGGTAATGGGGTCCTTTATATGTCCAACTGTCCTTTGTCAACAACAAATTGTTGCTGTTTTTGTGTTGAATATATGCTATATGGTAATTTATGGACCTAACAGGTATCTAAAGCCATTTGCACATAACAAAATACGTATTTTATCAAAGTAATTGATAAAGAAATGAGCAGACCAGTGATATTTTAGGGAGCAAGCTAGCAGGAGAGGCCCATTACTTACATCATAGAAGCCTACACAACACAAAACACTATTGCTGTATGTAGGTTTTATTTTATTTGTTTTTTATCTTATATTTTGGAAAGGTACATCCAGTTTTCCCCCCTTTAAATTTTTTTGGGGCCCCCAAGAGAGTGATAGGGACGTGGGTGGCGCTGTGGTCTAAACCACTGAGCCTAGGGATTGTCGAACAGAAGTTTGGCGGTTCGAATCCCTGCGACGGGGTGAGCTCCCTTTGCTCGGTCCCTGCTCCTGCCAGCCTAGCAGTTCGAAAGCACGTCAAGGTGCAAGTAGATAAATAGACACCGCTCCGGCGGGAAGGTAAACAGTGTTTCTGTGCGCTGCTCTGGTTTCACCAGAAGTGGCTTAGTCATGCTGGCTACATGACCTGGAAAAACTGTCTGCGGACAAACATCGGCTCCCTTGGCCAGTAAAGCGAGATGAGCACTGCATCCCCAGAGTCGTCCATGACTGGACTTAACTGTCAGGGGTCCTTTACCTTTAAAGAGATTGCAGGAATCTTTTTTGCCCAACATGGGGCTCGAACCCCCCACCCTGAGATCAAGAGTCTCATGCTCTACCGACTGAGCTATCCTTCACCAACTGAGCTGTCCAAAATGGCCTCTTAATTTCAAATGACCCACTGATCTAAGCAGATGCGCATTCCATGTGTCTGTACATATTTTGCTGCACCATGAAGCCAGATGAATATTTGTAGTCACAGCAGGTAAGAGCGCTGCTCCGGACAAGGAAGTCGCTCATTTAGGGCTATAAATTATTAAGAGTTACATCCAGAAAATGTCATTTTGATCCACAGCAATCCCAGCAGGGGCGTATTATTAATTCATAACTTAACTATAGCTAAATTAACAGAACAAGGAAAGCATAAAATCTTTAAGAGTTTGAAATAACTGTCTCTGAAAACACCCAATTTTTAAACCTCTCCCTTCACTTAAATATTGTCATAGATCTAGATACCGGAGCCTGTTAATGAATGATGGAAATGAATAAACGGTAGTATTTAGATAATATTTGGGATAGGAAGATAAAATGCAAGCTTCAGAAGTGTGCCAGACAAGGAATTCCTGGGTTAGCTTCTCCTAGGGCTGCCATATGGCCAGAATTTCTTGGATGTAGCCAGGATTCATCCATAGAAAAAGGTGTCCAGGTGGAATTTTTGAAAGTTGGTTTAAATGTCCGGGGGAACCCAGGCGTATGGCAACCATATCAGCAGTGTTGAATTCCTAAAAAACAGCTTAAAAACGTCATTTTTTTATTTTTTTTGAGATTTGCCAAAAAAGTTCAACAACTTTGCTCGAAAAAACTCAACAACTTTTGTGTCTGGATTTTTCACTTTTTGAAATATGGCAACCCCAGCCTATGCAAGCCAGCCTGGTTGGTCTAGCTAAGTGCAGAGCTAATAAGGAACAAAGTGCTGAGACATTGGGGGAACACTGGCACTGCAAAAGAACTGTCCCTTCCTCTGAGGAGTGGACAGAAGCAGAGAAATAGTGAAATACAATTAAGAAGAAGTATATTGGGGGGCGGGCAAGAGAGTGGGGCCCTAAGCTATAGCTTGTTTAGCTTATACGTACGGTAAATCTGGCACTGACTGTGTGTCAGAAATGCTCTTTTAAAAAACCGCATTGTGTTTATTTAATATTTTCAACTTCTTTGGGACTGACCAGCCTTTAGGGCCTATTTTCGTAGGCATTTTTCTCCCAGGGACCAGGGGAGGATCTTTTGGTAAGGCGTGCTGCAACAATCCTTCTTCCAATAAACACAATGATTCCTGGAGTGCTTCTGTGTTCACATCTAATATCCATCTGGCAGATGGCGGGTGCAGGATATCCATCGTACTTCATAAGCAATTCCACTCATTTTAATGATCACCAGCGACATTTTGCCTGCAAAAAATGTTTACTTTGGGAGTGATGCTGCAGAAGCGCCTCTGCCATTAACTTCACCTTTCCAAGAGCGGGGGCTTCACTCGGGTTGCCTTCTCCCTCTGGCACAGAAGCAGCCTCCTCAAAACTAAATCTAGGAGGGATTAGCTAAAGTGGTTATGATATACTTCCGTTCTAGTCTTCTATAAAGGTAAAGGGGCCCCTGACCATTAGGTCCAGTCGTGGCCGACTCTGGGGTTGCGGCACTCATCTCGCTTTACTGGCCAAGGGAGCCAGCATACAGCTTCCGGGTCATGTGGCCAGCATGACGAAGCCGCTTCTTACGAACCAGAGCAGCACACAGAAACGCCGTTTACCTTCCCGCCAGAGCGGTACCTATTTATCTACTTGCACTTTGACGTGCTTTCGAACTGCTAGGTTGGCAGGAGCAGGGACCGAGCAACGGGAGCTCAGCCCGTCGGGGGGTTTCGAACCGCCAACCTTCTGATCGGAAAGTCCTAGGCTCTGTGGTTTAACCCACAGCGCCACCCACATCCCTATTCTTCTATTCTTCTGTTCTTCTTCTAGTCTTGTATAAAAAAGGACATAGAGCCACCCTGGCCCTTAGCCCCATTCAATGGATCCCAACCCTTTGTTTACCCACCGCAATTGATTCTCAGTTGCCTGTTACTGCTGCCACTTTTTAAACTGACACCTGGATCTGCATCATTAGTAGTCAAGCTGCTTTTTAAAAAAATCCCTCCCCCCCTCCATGCCAAGAAAAAGCTTGCTGGGTTAATCTGTACATATTAGGAGCAGCAGTGGCAAAAACCTGTATTACAAAATGGCACCCTTATCTCCCTTAAACTCGGCTGGGGCCTCACCTGACCTAAACCCTCTTTTCTGGTTCTACAGCTGTCTTGTCTGATTATTTTCTTTATTGATGTGCATAGGAAAAGACCAGTATGGACTTAACCTTACGAAAACATCTAATCCAAGAGTCCTGCTTTCTTTTCCTTTCTTTTTGGAGGGGGATTATGGCAGTTTCAGTATGTTTTCAAGAAACCCTTGAGCAAATAGCAACTAGCAGGTGGGTCTGAAGTAATTTCCTCCCACGAAAGGAGAAGGATTTGATGTTGCTGCCTGGATGTGGCTGGCAGCACTTATGTAATGAACCAGAGGTGTTTGTCTTTGTCTAATGCTACATGGGACTCACTTTTCCCTTTCCCTTTTTTCTTTTCTTTTTTTAAAAAGAGCTCTTCTCTACCTTTCTGTTCCATAAATACCACAAAAGCGAGGAGGTTAGTGACTTAGCCAGGCTGATAATTCCCCGGATGCCTGGTCTCTTTTTTGTGCATGTTGTGATATGAAAGGGACATCCAGGCACTTAACGCTGAAGATGGATGGGGAAGGGGGGAAATAATTGCCAATGAGAGAGAAATAGGGCAGCGTGAGGTGGTGGAGATGGCCTTCAAAAGGAAGCTCTGCCTCTTCAAATTGTGGTCCT